CCACAGTTCATGTTGCACGAGTTCTATTCGGCTGGCAATACTTCCTCACAGTCTGGTTCTATGAATTTATGGCCAGCATGACCGAATTCTATTCAGACCCAGAAAAAGGCTTTCAATTCCAACCAGGAAAACATTCGGAATGAAATTAGTAGTCTTTGTTCAAACGTATTTCCACCGTTTCTAATGCCACCAACACCCAGCAGTGTACCTGCTTTGATAATCGACTATGAACCTGATAGAGGGAGCGGAATACTTATGTCACGTTCATGATGTTCGCTGACAGCGTCATTTGATGGAGGCTCACTCTTGTAAATAAAATTCGTGACGCAAACTATTTCAGTAAAAAAACGAGGCAAATACCGCCACCAAAGAAACTCCCCTACCCCCGAAAAAATAAACTATTAAAGTCGTAGAATTTATTACCATCATGTGACCATCATCATTTATGACCTCATAGTTCTGTATGGACTCAAGCGATGTATCGACCTCTGTCAGCGAGCTGGACAAAATGCAAGACTGAGTTCTGCCTCATTTTAACGCTGGAATATCGTGGGAAGACAGGTTGTCAATCAAGGGCGAGGGGCGTGGGATCAATGAAGTGTGGTGAACGAAAGCCGTTCCAACCATGATGTTTCTCATTGCAGTCATAGTTTCTCAAATCAAACATGAAATGGTGTAGCTTATTCCCGGGGATGAGTGGTCAAGCCATGGTGAATATAAACCGACTTCCCCAATATGACTGTTCGTCGGCGTCACACCGACCAACTGATATGAATTCCGTGAAAGAGTTTTTGGTGTACTGCGGTAATGGGGTGATCCAGACTTCCGTGACTGTATTCCAGGCACGACCAGGTACAGCTCCATGTCCTCTAATCACCGTTCAGGAAGCTCGGCCAATGGTACACCGGGCAAACATGACATCCGAGTTAGTACATGTGATGCGTCGGTGCAAACGGTTACGTGATTGGACGACGGTCGTTCAACCAATTACCTTCTACAAAATATGATCTAATTCCATCAGTAAACATAAGCATTCACTGCTATCAATTCCTAGTGTGTTTCATTGGTGTCCGCAGTTCGGATAAGAGCCAATCCAGTTCTGAGCACTACAGTACGGGTTCTCGTATTCCGATATTCAACACTATTCTGATTACCACACTTTGACAAGTCTTGAATTTCAACATCTGTTGCAGTGCCCGAAACAAGAATAAATTGTGACATTCCTCAAATTTCTATGAACCGTGACTTGAATCATCTGTGCTAAACTCTATGGGACTATAAAAGCAACCGCTTTTGATTATTTTCCATGGTAATATTTTGACTTTGGTTTTGACTTCCCAAACGAGTAATGAACCTTCACTGGGTTGAATTATTTCTGTTACCTGATCAACTTAGTTCGGACAAAATTTACGGAACTGATACGGATTAAAGTAAACTTGGCTCGCAAACCGGTTCTGTCTCTCTCACTCACACACGCACTGTGTAGACCAGTTCACTGGCTATTGCGTTGACGCTGACATAAGCAGAACAAATCGTCAGGTATCCCAATAGACAGTCGAACACATCGCAAACTGATTGGGCGAAATCGATGACACAACCAATAACCGACTCTAAGGTAAGCATAAGAAACCTGGGATCATCGTTTACAAAGCATATCATGACAACAAGACCTGCAGTTGACCCCAACTAGTCATTCAAATAGTTGTTACGTAATGGCAATTGTAAGCTTTGGGTAATTAGTGAAGTGTTGCGTATTCGATTACAGCAACCGGCTTCATGAGCATAAAATGTTTTGATACAAACGTGGAGTTGATCTTCTGCCTTTATATTTAATCTTTGTTCACTTTTACACACACTTTCGTTCAACATGATTGATCAGCCCGAAGCGCTAGTTATGTGCCTATTTCCTTTACTTCAGCGACTGAGGAGATTAAACGAAATGTTACCATCTCGTGATAGTTGTATTCTTTTGCAATTCGCAACTTAGCCCATTGCAGATGTATTGTTTTGTTGTGCATGTTTGCCTTCCACACTTATGCTCTTCGATTGGTTGCTCCATACTTATACGCTCTCCGACACATTGTTGGAATTTTCACATTCTCACTCAATTTCGTCATTACTCACGGGATCATATTATTTGTTTTAAACGTGCCAGGGCATCTTTTGATCGTTCATCGGTTTGTGCGACTCCAGTTTCTCGCTGTACAGGTTCGGCTAGAAAACACAAGCGTGCAGGATGGTAGGTTGCCCTGAATTGCACCCCTTTGGCCAGGATGACTGTTCCTTCATTGGTCATCACTAACACTCGGTCCTTGTTTCCAAAGATGTCGGATTTGATTAGTGTTCTCCGATCAAGAAATCATATGAACACGTGTGCAGTCTGTGTTCAAGAATCCTGGTTGAATAAGGATGTAGATGACTCTCTAGTATCGACAGACGATTTTCAAGTTTGCCGACAGGATGGTGGAACCGAAGGAAAAAAGACTTGAAGGGGTGTTGCCACACAGGTCAACATTTCCTGGTGTGGCAAGTTCCATGTTATTTTTCAGTACTTCTCAAAAGGTATTGAGTGCCTAACCGTGCAGCACCACCCAAGATTTTCCCGTTTTACTCACTCCATTTTGAGTAACTTGTATGTAAGACCTTACTGAACACAATTGGATCGTATGTCATTTTTCGACTCGTTCATATGTTCTATTGCCCCATTTTTAGATGTTAACCTACACATAAACGTTGTCGACTTTAACCATACCAATACTTATCCTCTTTTAGCATCAGGTATGACAGGCCTTTGTCACTCTCCCGCAAGAGGTAATTCTATCCTGAACAGAGTAATTACCAGCCACACAACCCGTTTTTCCTTAGCACTAAAAGCACTTACTTCCTCCAATGACCATTGCTTACTCTAAGTTCTTCACACAGTGCATACGAAGCTTTCAACCGACCAGACTACATCAGAATTCGTTTTCGTAACTTCTCACCTGCAAGTGCTTCTCTCCTCAATGAATCTCTCAGGCAGGCCTCCATATGATTTTCACCATCTTCTTCTCTATTCATGTGTGTACCCCTATTCATCCAAACAACCAATGCCATGTATAATTACTCCTGCCATGTCCGAAGCTTATGTGTTCAAAAAAGGATCAACACTCCACTATTACAATCTCTGCGACGACAAAAGAAACGTGAGTACCAGTCTCACCATGCTTCAGCTGTCAGCGATTTGTCCAGGTTTATCAAAGCTGACATAAACAGATTGAATGCATTATTCCCCAATGGAATCATGAGGCGTGGAAACAGCAAACACCTGTGACAAGGTATAACAAGACTTATCTATGGAAGAAAGAAAGTACGGTCGAAGCTGTATGTTGATGTTGTGGTCGCATTCCTGCGCCAGTCATCGGACATTCTTCCTGCCTACTCGTCACACAATGTTTGTGCTGTGGAACCTTTCTCATATTGTGATGTGTTAAAACTTTTAAATAGTTACAATTCGTCTTCTACAGAACGATTTACCTTCAGCCCTCTTCAAATTTGATGCTACTTCCCCAGCTGGGGTAATCACGTCCATTGTAAATGAATCTCTTAACACTTCTGCTATCCCCGACTATTGGAGGCCGGTCACAATCATTACAATCCCGAAAACATCCAAATCTTCTATCCTCTCCAAACCTATTCATCCCATAGCATTTACATCCTCAGCTCCTAAGTTGACTGAAAAGGCTATCCTCAAACGCCTTCAGCGGTCTTTAAACATTCCCCGTGATCATTTACAGTTTGCTTACAAGCCTAATAGATCCACCTTGGACAGTCTCCACTCTCATTCACTTTATCACCAAGTCTTTGAATAACTCTGTTAAGTCCGTTCAGTGTTTTTTTCTGGACTCCTCTTCGGCATTTGATTCTATTCCTCGATCTAGTTTACTACAAAAACTGGAATCGTTTGAATGTTCAAAACACTTGTTAGCTTGGCTACCCATCAATCCACTAATTCTTCAAAAAGCTGTGGTATCCCCGTACTTAGTTTCCACTTATATTCTTCGTATTCCTTGCGTTTCTCCTGCACGTCTTTTGAACTATGCAGTTGGCGTTGTGCTGTGCCAACCCATTTCTTCTCATTCCGATCTGATCTCCTTCACCGACAATCTCGATCGAATTCAGTCATTCTCCTTCTCATTGGGGCTAACCTTAAACCACAGCAATTGTGTTGAATGTTTATATAGTTTTGCTCGCTCTCCATATCCAACAGATCACAACAATCCTTTATCCAGGGTGAACTCTGTCAAATATCTTGGTGTAAACATAGATAGAAATCTTCATTGTTCAACTCACATCCACAACTGCATTGATAAACTGCGGCCCCTATCATTTCAAATTGGAAATCTCAGGCAGTTTCGTGCGTCCCAGTCCGTTATTTCTACCTTTGCTTATCAGTGTATTTTCCCCGTCTTACTTTGCTGTTCCCCAGTTATTTGTCCTGATTTACTCAAACAGGATTTCAAAGTCTTACGCCGTGAACTAACTATTACTAACCGTCTCTTCTACACCTGGGAATGAGTTAGCTGTAAAGCTTTCCGAGTATCACATAACACCCTGTGTGAAAATTGTGCAGAGGACTCTCACAGATCCTGACCACACAGAAGTGACACGTTTTCGTTCCAATCCTTCCACATGGTCCCAATTCCGCAAATGCAATCTCGATTTGACGCTTACCGCAATTCACCTATAACGTATCTTGCTGGTTTAGTCATAACAAGAAGGGGGCGATAAGTGAACTTTGTCTTAACCTCGGATTATGAAATGTCCCCATGTCTGTAAAACTTTTCTCACAATTTATTATGTACATTGTGACGGGTTGGTGTGTACGAATTTTCACTGATAATTGAGCTACAGTGCTCGCAAAAGTTATTCGCAATACACAATCATAGAGAATCGTCTCAGAATCCGTTAATTGCAGATGAACAATGAGAGAGAGTGTGAGATAGAGAAACAACACGAGTTATTTATTTACCTTTCATCTGTTGTGTACTGTCATCCATGACTGACAATTCTGTTCCGACAATATCATATTCATCACCAACCGGATGCTTGACCACAATAAACTCCGTGGATGGATCGGTCATTGATGTGTCAAAACTGGGAACGGAAGCCTGCTCAGGGGTTTGATCATTTCTGTCACTTATGGAACGATGCTTACCCCTGGTACCGACGGACGTTTTTCTGTTAAGCGATAAAAAATATGCGAGAATATTAATGAGAAAAGAGTTGCATTGTACGAATCTCCACTCACTTCCAGTAAAGTTACAGATATGGCAGTTGTAATGTCTGTTAGATTAGGTCAGTGCACTTTTTTCAATTGCGCAATGGTGTCTGGTTGTGGTTAAATACCTCCTTCATCACTTGTAACCACAATGAAGAAACACAGTATTTTCAATCGAAAGAATAAACAAGTAAAAAGTAATGTTTCGCCACGATTATTTAACTCAAACGCACAATCTACGGCTTAAAGCGCCAGAGTGAATAATCTTTTCTGCTATTTCTATTCAATAGACAATTGTACAACTCTTCTTTTCCGAGAACAGCTCACGTCAGTTTAATAATTTTCGCCAGATAAGAATAATTCGGATGGTAGTTATTTTGATAGCCGAGAACATTAGCTTTGAAGTCCAATCAATAATCAACTGTATCGCTTGACTTTCGTTGACCACAACAATTGAATTGTGCAATCCATCGAATAGTGCTCAAATTGCACTAATAATTCGACGCATCAATCAATGGGACCGTTTTGGTATCAGAACGATGTGTCGCCATTTTCTGAACCCGGAAGGGAATCGACATTCACAATCGTAGGATGGTTCGTCTGAATTACACACACTCATTTACATACGCCGTAAAACCGTACAACACCTACTGTGTCCAGTGGATAAGAGTTTATGAAAAATGTGATAAGAACTATATTATTCGACGTGTTGCAAAATGAATGTTTGTGAATTAGTTTATGCTTAAATTGGACTGATCCAGGTCACCATCAGATGGTTTCCGAAATCGTGTGTGTGTCTATGTCCAACTACCTCTATTGCTACCGTTCTGCATCTTTGTGTGTCCAATTGCAATCCTTTAGTTGACCGTGGTTTGTTGTTCTGAGAAGTGATTGTATAACATTGTATGCGGTAGAATGAATGAAAAGGTCATTATTATTTTTATCACCATAATTCATTCCGTTGTCATACCAGTGGTAACCTCGGTGGAGCCCGAACTCACATATGAGCTTCTCCTCACTTTCCAAAAGCATTTTGTACAGCATACGCTATACCAGCTGAGCTACTAGGTCACATCGAAAACTGTGATCTACACTGCCGTTTGAGCTGTCTGATCCGGCGTGTTTTTCCTGGAATCAAACAACTGAACTCGACGATCGATTCATTTTTTTCAAACTTTGATATCCTACCTGACATTGTCCGTTGATAGACCAAAACGCTGACCCGCAATTGAAACACGAGACTAGCGTTCTTAGTAGCCTTGTAGTACTTTCCTTAAAAGCAGGCAAAGTTTACAAAGAATTACTATTTCCATAGTACGCTAAAATTCAATGAATTCCGCGGGAGAAAAGAGCTGTTCGGAAATTACATTACTGCCTGCTATAATACGAAGCTAATCAATGTAACATTCAACATTTAACTACCAGCAAAACTATGCTAGAAAGACAAAACTCGCAAGCAACTGATTTTTAAATCTGATTTAAAATTACCCACCATTTATTTCGGTCATTTTTTCCTTGTGCTGATGCCAATTTTCCAGAAACGTGCGCGTCAAATGAGGTATTTGTTTTCCATCCAGTATTTCTGAAACAACATCAATTTGGGATAGCAGGTCTTTACGAAAATAACACTAGGTTGCACCTTACGGAAAACAGAAATAAAAATTTTGCTGCGAGAATTCATCAATGAAAAATCTCTGTTACGGTACACTATATTTTTCTACATGACCTACGTAAGTTGGATTAGCGAATTAATTGTGCTTTTGTACTACTAGCTTTGCTTTTGAGCGAATGGCTTCTTCATGGGGATTATTTGGGTTCCTGGATGTTTCTGGTCATAGCCATCTAAGCATGAAGCCAGGTCTTCACGGATTTCAACCCAGTGGATACTCTTCGCTGCTTTCAGACTTGAGTGCTCCATGTCCACATGGATTTTGTAAATATAATGGCATTCAATCCTCCGCTATTCCCATATACTAACTAGTCAGACTGAACTAGTTCCAGTTGAGTGATAATCCTGGAGGTGAGGCGGAATGCCCGCATCAAGCTCATGAAGATGGGTTGTATTGTATCGTCTACAGGTAGAACTACAAAGGTCTGATCAGCCGTTCGGTGGTGGTATGCCTACATTCGACGTGTGAGATCCCGGATTGGATTTCTAGTTGGGTCCAATTAATTCACACTTCTAATGAGACCTAACTAAATCAAAGCAGCTGGGTAGTGCTTTTTAGCTTTCCAGGTAAACTTCATCTGCTCTGTAAATTAAAACATTTACTACCTAAATTCAAATCTTCAATTCACCCATGAGGGCACAGCTTTATGACAGGAACGGCTTTGGGACAAAGATTAATTGCGTTAGCTCAACCAACAGTCTACGGAGAGCAAAAGATAACCATTATAAACGTCTTCTTTGCAGGAATGCGTAGATATTTCATATTGGCAACGTGTTGGTAGATACCGTGATTGGAAATTAGAGCCTAACATTCCGCCTTTTTCAACCGGACTAGATTCACCACCACTCATCGAAATATCTTAGAAACAAGATACAGGCTTCTGGCGATGTGGAGCAATGGAGCAACAACTCTTAAAGTTCCCTGAGGCTTTTTATCAAAAAGTAAACTTTTATCTTGCGGGGACAGTTGAGAAAGTGAGAGAAATATGTTTGATAACAGGTCAAACTATTCTGTTCTTTGTATTTGCATTTTTCTATGTATGCGCATGAAGCAGACTAGAGATCAAGTGATGCTTAAAATAAACTACGATAATCTTCCTCAAGTTGTTTGCACAAATAAAGGCCTGATTTGCTAAGCTCAGTCAAACTGCTCATCGCACTGGACAGGAAATTTGTCAGAAGAAAACAGTTTTATCAACTTTAACCTTTGTTTTGTTGTGGTATTTTAGCTACCAAACTAGGGAAGGAAAATCAATTTTCAGTCGTTATTGACTCCAAAAGACCATTGTATCTGTATATGGGGAGGAAGAGCATTTGATGACAACTGTGGTTTCTAACCTACAAACTACCACCGCTTCCGCCGAATGCGTTCACCTAACGCCAATCTGCACAGGGTTCTGCACTCTTTATCACATGAAATGACAAAATGCATGGAAGTGTGCAAACCGCTGCTTTTCGCGTGTCGTTTAACCATGTTTGGTCTGATATGTGACTCCAAAACACAAAGAGCTATAATGTACTTGATACCATCGTTGCCAGGTAAGTTGCAAGCTCTTCTAGGTAGCTTCAGTGCCAGCGTTTCCCTGTTCAGTATGCATTTTGCGCCTTCAAAGTGTAAACGTTTTCTACAAGACTGGTTTGCTCCAGCACCCAGTCTCATTCTTACTGGGCGATTAAAAGACCAAGTGGACAAAGTTTGTTATTTAGGCAGTTATATCTCACCCCGAGGGCCCATTACGGATGAAGTGTCAGCTCGCATACGGCAGACTCAGTTGGAATTTGAGAACTTGAGGCACCTGTGGTGCCGATGCGACATGCGGCTGTCCATGACGGGTGTATGCTGCGGTAGTTCGGTCCGTTCCTATTTACAGCGGAGAAACTTGGCCATGAAGAAAACAGGATAAAGATAGACTGGCGGTGTTTGAACAATGCACTGCACGAATCCGGTGGGGTAACTGGACCAGCAATGCTGAGCAGAGTTTATGGTAACCGCGGTCTTCTACTGAATCAGGTGGTTGGAGTATGTGTTACGTATGTCTCTGAATAGGTTCCCACGGCGCGCGATGTTTGCTGAGGCAGATAGTGGATGGCAAAACACCAAGGGTGGTCGGCATAAGACATAGCACGAGGGTATGAAATCCCCAACCAGATAACTTGGTTAGATAGGTCCCGACAGGCTCCGTGGATGGGACCACGAGATCATGGTAACTGGTGATTAGGGAAACTGAGTAATTTGACTGAGTATCGTAAACAGTGGCTTGTGTGCATCTTCAACTGAGATTCTCCTCCGATTCTGCTCTATACTTTCCTGTGATAGCAGATCGTAGAAAATTTTTTATCTCTGGGGATTCGTGTTAGTATTGATATTATTTCTTATTTCCTGTCCTACTAGAAACACTTCTAATATTCTTGTGAGTAATTTGTAAACTTCTGTCGTGCAATCAAACATGCATTTTTATATTTATTTTTCAAATTTGAACCCGATTATACTCTCTATAACATATACCACATATGTATAACTCAGTCTCCTAAACTAATATTCCCTTTGTCAGCATACAAACCTCCAGTTTGGTTTGTTTGAATCTAAATTTCAGTCTAAAAACATGATGATTATTCTCAGTGACTTCAACTGTGGTGCATTGCATGTGGATGCAATTTAGATGGTAAAAAGACTATTATATTTTTCGGTTACCTTGTTAAGGTCAGCGGCCTCAGCCTCTAATTTCTTGACACACGCATTTATTCAAAATGTAAAGAGATACAGGGCTCACATTGCTGCTAAGCTCAAATAAAATACATTCGCCTCATCAACGCGGTTCTCAGAACCCTGGTGTTTTTGCACCACAGTCCGAAACTCATGGAACTCTTCGCATGTTTGATTGACAACTTGTGATGAAAGTTTGGTATAGACTCAGTATTGGTGTCCACTTCTCTCAAATGCTAAAAATACTCTTTTAGTTTATCTTATTAATAGTCTAACGTAATCCTACGTTGTTGTCTCTCGGTTACTTATTTGGTCTATCACTGAAGCAGTAAAAACAATAAATGAAAAACTGATAACAGTAATAAACAACTACAGGTGGTGCCCAAATGATTTTAAATAGGTCAAACTCAAACGAGCCTTTGTTATGTAACCTCTTCAGAGATTTACCTACAAGAACATTTGTAGTTACCTAAGTAGCAAACATTTTTTACTTTTTCCATCAACTTTAAACTTATTGTGAATATAGGTCAACCCATATTGTACTTTGTACTTTACATATGCAAACATCACCGTTCAAAACATTTAAGAACATTGGCACCCTACATCGATCTTCATTCAGTCGTCTAATGTCATCTGTGCATTCTAAGTTAGACAGCTCTTCGGCTGGAAGAACATCGGAAAAAATATCATTAAAAGAGGAAATTCTCATTTAAATGAGCTATATGTTACAAAAAGAGAAAAGAGAGCGAGAGAGAACAATGCTAACGAAAACCGCTTTCCTTGGATGACTAGAGACTAAGAGTACTACAAACCCCAATGCGACTTCGGCTATTCATATACAAAGATCTCAAATGACGAATACATTTTCTCTAGCACACCATTCAAGGATAAGCAGCTCCAGATTAGAGTACCTCATTTTGCATATCTAAGAAGATAACATTCTAAAGTCTATGGAATATCTCCGTTACAGAACAAGTGAAAGATTAAAATCTGATGATTGCAACTTCGATCATGACCTAAAGCAGCTTGATTGTCATATGCGGACCGTTCCAATGGAGTAGATTGTTTATGAGGCCAAATAAAATGTTTTGGGACTAAGTAAGGCAAGCTTTATTCTCTTTAGTTTTCATACAAGCCGTTGTCTCTTTTCTTTTAAGCTGATAAAATAACCAGTTCAAACCGTTCAATCACGCGTGGATGGAGACGATGGCACCTTAACAATTGGTGGAAGTGCGTAAAAGCAACGATCGTCAACGCCTAACAAACCAGGAATGTGACGTAAATCACGAGTGACAAAACAGAGTTCTTGCAATGCATGAGTTGAAGGGACGTTTCATTAGGCCTTTATGAAATAGACGTACCCAAGGACATTGTGTTTACGATAACGGTCTCCTTGGCCTTATAGACGCTCATCACTGGATTACCGCTGATTTCAAGTTCCTTCAGCTTTTTAAGCTTTTGTAGAGAGCCGATCAGTTCTTTCATATTTGTAATGAGATTATTTGTTGCGGCAAGATATGTTAATGTTGACAACACACCCAAATCTTTAAGGGTTTCCAAACGGTTTCCGGAAACATCTAGCTTTGAGAGCGTTGGCTGTAAAAGCATCTCTACAATCAGAAAACAACTTACAGAAATCGCGGATAAACTCTGGTCGTCAAAAAGTAACGATTCTTCAGGTGGTAAATTCTGATTGTCGATTCGCAGCTCCCGCAAAGACCTAAGTCCTTCCAGGCCTTCGATTATGGAAATAGAATTACGGCTCAAATATCTGACATGAACCAAGCCGGATATTTTGCTTACAATTTTTCTAATCGTACCAAGGTTGATAGGTTTTCGATCCTTTGTATGTTGTTATTTTGAAGGTAAAGATGAGTTAGTTGAGTCACCGGTGACAGATCTGGTATCTCCTTAAGAAGGTTTCCATAAAGATAAAGCACTGTCAAATTCCGGCATAAGGAAATTTCACTGCCCTATTAGGCACGAAAATTGATACGAACAGTAAGTAATGTTCGTATATTAATTAGG